TGGAATTATTGCATAAATTATTGAGGAAAACAGAGAGGCAAATTTCCTAATTGGACATTTCTCTAATTGGGCAGGAAATTTGCCCACATTTCCATCGAGTTTTAAATTCCGAACACAAATCAGGTTAACTTGAACGTGAGTGCCGAAAAAACTCTGCGTGAAAACGCGAATTTCAAAACTTTGCGTCTTGAATACTTGATTCAAACCCCCTAATGGGGGACTACCTAAAACTACCCTGGATTGGTTTCCGCGTATTGTTTACAGTACAAGAAAACCCTTCCATCCATTCAAAAGGGTTGCGTTGATGCGTTCCTATCAATGGTTCCTACCACCGAAAAGAGTTCTGATATCTATGATTATACGCAAGGCCGCGGGGAGGATTTATGGGTCCCAGGTCAGGATGAAAAATAAATGATAAAGCATGCCTTAGGCAGACGCTTCTAGAAGGTAGGGGGAATGCTCCCTAGGAATGTTTGAAATTGATGATTACTAAAATTGCTCTGGTGGCTAATTTGGTTGCTAAAATTGCTATGGTGGCTAAACGGCGCTGGTGGCAGTGACGTAGATACAGGGGGGAGGAGGTTCAGCGGAGGCAAAACCCCCTGTATAGCTAAACTTCCATTTTGTCAGAAAACTTCTGGTTTTGTCGGAAATTTAACATTATTGTCCATGTTCATCTAATTGCCATGTTCTGATAGGAAAGAATTTCAAGCTAAATAAACACAAGAATGTCTGAATTTATCGAAAGATTCCTTTATTTTAGTTTTGATGTCGTTATGTTATGTTAAAATTTATGAAAAATATAAATGCTTGTTGGAATTTTGTCAGAAAATCTAAGTTTCTCACCCCTCCTATGAATTCTCTTATCTAGACCATTGTCTGGTGACTATTACTTCTGTTTGCTATTTGATATAATTTTAGCATAACTGATGTCTTAACACCACAAAGATGAGAAATTCTTAACGAAAATATCTTCAAAACTCGGGCAGTCAAAGACTCAACTGCTCCTACCTTATTTGATTCATAGACTTTTGTCATTATCGTCTCTATTAATGGCAGTTTGTGGTAATGGAAAGGCTGGATTATAATATATAATTTTTTTAAAAGAGTTATTATTTATGGACCCCTATAGCCAAGTTCTTCGGTAAATGGGACTTGGAAATCCCCCTAGAGCGACGCCCTATACTCAACCCTCTTTCAGAAGCGTTTAACCTACTACTCAAAAGAATCATGGAATGGATCAACAGGTCGAAACCAGTGGCGGCTCTAGCCTGGGATAAGTGGCCACGCCCTTTTCCCCTGTTTGAAGCATTTTCTTTCGGAGGAAACACTTCTTGTTCCCCAAAAAAATGTCATTTAAATGCGAAAATCTAGATAACGTACACCCCCGAAGTTTTTCCATCCCCCCACATGGCTCCGCCACTGGTCGATACGAAAACATAACTCTACTCGCATTTCTGTTTGAATGCGTGTTATAAGAAGTTGTCAATAATTGGTCACTATTGTTTTCTTCCCTCATTGAAAAACATGCTCCGCTTAGGGAAATTCGCGTTACAGAAAAATACTGCCCCTGTATTGACAAACACCCTAGGGGTCTGATGATCACCAGAGACAGACTGAAAAAAGCAGCTCCTAAAAGTAAATCACCAAATCTTATTGATTCATACAGACAGGCTCGAAATAAAGTCAACTCCTTTGATATCCAGCTCACGAAGCAATATTTTGCTACAAAGATTTTGGAATATAAAGGAAACACAAAGCAAAAATTAATGAACTCCTGAACAAAAAATCAAAATCTAGCAATATTGATTGTATCAAAGATTCAGGCAAGGTATTTATTAACAAAAAAGAAATATCAAGTACAATAAATCGTTTCTTCTGTACAATTTGTGAAAACTTAATCAGCAAAATCGAAGCTGTTCCAAACCCTCTTCTATATGGGAACTTCAATAATGCTAACAACAATGTCAAGTTCAAGTTTAGGATGATAGAAGTGCAGGAAATTAGGGATGCAATTTCCAAAACTAAGTCTTTTAAGAGCTTTGGGCCTAACAATATTTTCTTATTTTTACTAAAACTGGCCTTACCTCTCATTAAAAACGTTTTGGCCTGTTTGTTCAATACATCACTTGAAACTAACATTTTTCATAGAAATTTGCCAGAGTTACCCCAATTCTCAAAGAAAGGGCAAAACTGATCTAATTTGCAAAAGTCTAACTATCGCTCTATATCACTTTGAAAGACTTGTGACCAACCAACTGTACCAGCACATGAGTGATAATGGATATTTCTCCCCAGAGCAGTCTGGCTTTCGTAAACTTCATTCTACCGTCTATGATTTAAAGGACTAGATTTCGGGAAGCTAGTGGGATTAATTTTTAATTTACCTGAAAAAGCAGGGCCTCCGACGAAGGGGGGCCGGGGGCCTTGACCCTACTTTTTTGCAAAACAATAGAGCTTTTTCAAAATCGTTTGTTATGGGTGTTAAATTTTCTCTTGCCCCCCCCCCACTTTTCAACCTCTGTCAGAGCCTATGAAAAGGCATTAGACACGGTTGAGCATGGTCTCCAGCGAAGCTATTATAATCTTTAACAAATGAGAAGACGATGCAGCGAATTTACTACTAAGTACGTAGGAGTTTATAGAACTGTTACTATGACACGTTGTGTCACTTGCAGAAAATATCATTATGTTTGTTCTTCCGAGGCTGAACATTGTACCACAAAGATGAGCATTTCAAAATTAATCAGGGAACAGATAAGGTTATACCTTTTGCATGCAGACAAGAAAACAGAGATGTTATGTTGAGCTCGGTGATATCAACAGGATTGCCTCGGTTTCACAATTTTACATCTTCATACGAAATGAATCTTTGACCTCTATTACTTCTTCACTAAGGTAGAAATATTCGCTAAGATTTGGGTTCATCATATTTAAGATTTGGGTTCATCATAGTATTGCAAAGAATTTCATTCTTGTTAATTTACACATGAATTTTCCTTGTAAAAATAGAATGTTTATATCTAAAAAACAACAAGTTAAGCTTTGAAACAGAGGGAGTGTAGTTTTATATTTTTTTCTAAAAGCCATAAATCTCGCACCATTCTCTATATCTTCAGTAACCACATTTAGATAACTCTTGTCAGCAGTTCCCCATACTTATTCCATATCTGGCTGAATAAAAGAATTATAAGGAGATTTTACTATTTTGTAGGCACAAGATATCCAAGCTTAGAAAAGATTCCCTACCCGCTTGATATTTTTAGTGTAAAAAGTTGAATTGGAGCTTTCAAATTCAATTATGTGTCCAACTGAACTCTAAGTTGAGTATTTGTCAGGTGCGAAGATGGCTCAGTCGTTAGGGTTGCTGACTACAGACCCAAGGGTCCGTGGTTGAGTCCGTGACATGACCAAACTTTCCTTCAGAGTGAGGAGAGTCGCAAGCTCTCTGTAATTCAAGGCGTAGGAATCACGAGGTGTGGTCACGGTGGAGAGGAACGACTAGGACACTGCTCGATAAGTATAGCTTTCAGTGTCTTAAAGCTGCTCTCGAAAGCTAGGTAGCAAACAACACAAAAATACAATACATGTCTTTTTTATATCTTCTCGCTATTAATGCAGAGGCTCCATTTTTATAACTGATTTCTATTTTTTTAAAGTAATAACATTTGATTTCTAAATGTTTAAGTTCATTTGTTAAGCTCGTAACCAGATAGTTATGTTATGCAGCTCGTTATTTGAAGAAGTTTCTTTAGTCTTGTTGTCTTTATTAGAAAAGGAAACTCTTCTGCAAATAGATGAAAATCAATTGAGTTTGATGACTAGTTAATGCTATCTATATTAAGTAGAAAAAGCAAGGGTCCAAGGATACTACATTGTGGCACACCAAAACTATAAAGTATCTGTTCTACTTTAACACACTGTCTGCGACTACTTGAATAAGATTGAGGTGACAGGGGGCACGTGCCCAATTTTTAGAAACATAAGAAAGTACCTATTTGCGATTCACAGAGACAGAGGTTCCCCCTTTTGCCTTTATACCCTTTACTTTTGAAATGCTTCGACTATGGATTTAAACCAGTTTAGATGATTTAAGTTCTTATGCAACAGTGTTTGAGTTTTTCATTGAAAATATGACAACTAACAGTATAAAAAAGTTTGCCAGATCCAACAAAGGAACATGCGTTTTCTTTTTCTACAATTGCATTAGAAAATTTTCCACCGTTATCTATTACAGCTTGTTCAGTAGATTGGTCTTTTTAGGAGCCAAGTTTAAATTTTTAACAGAGTGTTGAATGTTGTGCTTATATCCATCAAAATAGATTGAATCAATTTTTTCCAAGTTACTTATCATTTTAAAAATTGAAATGGGTCAATTGTTGTCATCAAATGGAAATGGTTAGACATCAACATCTTTAATACACGAAACTTCCAACAGGAATTACTTAAACAAATTTAAATGATTTCGAAGGGTTACTTCGTTAATGAACTTATTGAAGAACTGTGGTATTGGACTTGCTCGCACAGGTGAGGCTATTTTAATATGTTTTGGGGTAATGCCAAATATATCTGGGGATCTGTTTACCACCAGGCTGTTAATAAGGTTTAAAATTTCACCTTAATCAGTTTTATTCAAAATAACTGGAATTTTTGGGTTTTTGAGGTAGACCTGGTATTTGCATTAAGTTTTTTGTTTTTTTCTACCAGATTTTGTTTAACAAAAAAGTCATTGAATATGCTAAATACATTTGTTTGATTAGATAAAAGTTCTTCATTATCATCTTTTTATAACGTATTTCATTTAATGTATCTCTCTTTCTATTATTACAGAGAATTTATATCAGTCCAAATCTCAATAGCACATATTTTTACTTTTTCTTATTAATTAAGGAATTTAGCTGATCTCGATGAAACTTATATCTTCAAAACCAAAATGAATCCTGCAATAGTCGGACAATGAGGTGTGATCAGTGCATATTCCCCAAATTGTGAAGGAGAAAGAGCACAGGGAGTCATTCTATTTGTTTAGAAAAAGAATCATGGCGGAAGACGTAAGCATGGAAGCCCGAGTGCCTGTCAGCAAAGAAACGCTGAAAACATCTTTCAAGGTTCCAACTGATCAGGAGAGGAAGAGACCTTTTCTTATTGGTGTGGCGGGTGGAACATGCTGTGGAAAAGTATGCAACATTTGATAAGATATTTTGAAAGGCATTTAGGCCTAAGCGTAACACAGAAAGAAGCAATGCTGTCACATTTCATTTCGAAAGAGTTTTGTTATTAAATTATGTTACTTTGTATTAAAACCTATGGGGTCCCTTGTTTCCATTAAAAAGTTTGTTTATTCAATTAAGCAAGTTATCACGAGCACAAACATCGTTGGAGAGGTGTCTTTGTATGATGCTGGATGGACATGGACACCCTGTGTATTTGAATGTCAGTTCAGAGAAAACATTTTGGGGTTTTATAGTCAGTGCAGTAGGCATAAGATGTCAGTGTTGAAATTTTTAAGGTAGAAAATGTCTAAGCTGAGGGCAAATCAATCCACAAAAAACCTTTGGTAGAAATCCCATTGATTTGTCCATGAATCCCTGGAAAATCTTTTGTTTTTGTTTAAATTTTGTATGTATTTACAAGGGTGTATTGTCCCAGAGCCTTAGGGAATAACTTGAAATAAGATAAAATGAGAAATCACAAAGATGGAGCTGTTTATAATTATTTTCGTTAACTTGCAAATCTGCAAAGGAATTGCATATACTTGTGTCCAGGCATATTCTTATCCTATGTTAACACAGGACCAAGAACATTGTTTAATGGACTAGCTTCCTAAAATAACTCCCTTTCACCCAAAGGCATAGAAGATATAAGGGTTGGGGAGTCCTGTTCCTCAAATCAGTTCAATGTTACGCCATTCAGGCTCAGTTCGAGCAGTTTTATCTCAATAGAAGCAAAAATATTGGAGTAAGATCCAGGCCTTTCCCGGAGACACGGGCTACAGCCCGGGCCCGCGCGAACCCCAACCAAAAAAGTTTTGGGAGTGCTTTTTCTGCCCTCGCAGTTGTTTGTAACAACGCTCTCATTGAATCTGCTTCGTCCCACTCTCCAATGTTTTAACTACCTACCGCTATAAATAACGTCGTATCAAAGAGATATATGGTTTTTATAAATATCATTATAAAAAGGAAATTCCTGTTTCTTTTGACATCAAATGTTAACAAACTATAGTCTTATCTGTTAAAACTAGCAATGGAATAGGAAATGATTGTGCAGGAAAGGAACAACAGATAGCGTAAAACAGCAAGAATGAGAATTGTTACACAACATTGTCAAGTATGAAATTTGTGTTAAGAATACACTCATTTTTATAAGAAACATGATATAAGAATCGACAACTGGTAAATCAGAAAAAAATTTGATAAGTTCTTAAACAGAAATAATTCATTTTTTCACTTCGACTCTTCAACAAGGTGAGATAGACGGTTGGGATTTGCCAAAAACATAGAACCAATCATTCACTCTGTCTGAACTCTCTCTTGTTACTTTCGATCCGCATTTCTTCTTCCCTTTATGCTTTGAGGTTTATGTATATGTTATTCGCCGATTTTAATCATGTTATTATTTTGCTCTTCTGTGCTTTTTTCAGATTAAGAAACTCTTAAGAAAGAATGAGTATTGGAATTTTCTATACTTTTAAGGAACTGGAGTACTCCAAGTCGACCTTCATTTCTAACAGAAAAGAAGTGAATTTCAGCTATTCTTTCTTTAATTTTTAATGCGAAACAACTTAATCTTCAATTATCCTTTGAATAACATTGTACTGCTCTATATCTTTTTGAATAAAGATGAGTTTTGTTGGATACTACACATTAAATCTGTGTTCCTACACAAAACGTTGCCATTTTGCAAAAAACCAGTTTGTCATTTGGGGGTAGTAATGAACACAACACATCTGTCTTCTTAAGATAAATCATGTTTACAAGTAGACAAGGTAATTTTTTTGGCTTGTATATACTCAAATATAAATAGATAAACAACAAATTCTGCAAGGGCTAAATAGCCAAACCAGCAGGGGTCTTTTTAAGCCTGTGTGCTTTTTATTCCCGGAGTGCCCTGGTAAGATCTAAACTCAACCTCCCTCAAAGTTTACCATCTGCTACCCCAATGCTTTTACTGAAAGGCATTTATTGCCTTACTAAGACTGAATTATTTAAATACGAAATATTTCGAGATAGGTATCATATAACCCTCTTTTATCTGTTTATGATTATACACAGTACCTCCAACAACACAATATTGAAAATGGAAAGATATTATAACAATATCTATTTTTGCCTGCTATTGCTAAAAAAATTTATTATTTTATAAGAAATAGCTTTAGAAGGCAAGCTTTAGTAGACAATAAATGTCAATGAAAGGGGTGTCAGTCCAGTTCAATGTTCAAGCTACTGAACAAATCGTCTTCATGATTGAAAATCTATAGCAAGGTATTGATGGTCAAGGAAATAAAGTAAGCATTTGAGTAATCACTTGATTAAAGGGTATTTTGTGAACATAAAATTGAAGTACACAAATAAAAGTAAATGAAATTGATTTTTTATATGAGAAAAGCTTAGCACTTGGCATGTTTTCATTTTCATGCTATTGGTCATGTTCATCCCAAGGTCTTTCCATTCAGCTGAACCTCCATAACTGAACTTTGAATCACTGTCTGTTAAAGATTTCACTGTTTGTTAACAAGAGAATATATTTTAAAATTAGAGGAAAACAGTAGAACGTATGCATACCAACCTAAACATGGACACTGAAATTGCACTAAATAGAACATTATTCAAGAAGATACTCAAAGATCTAATTAAGGGTCATTTAGTGTCTGTCACAGGCACCTTGAATTTGTTAACATTGAGCAGAATATTGACAGAAAATTTTTAGTATGTTGTTGAAATGCACCTACTTTGAGCATTACCATCACTCAACAGCCCCCTTATGATGTTAAAAAAGGTCTTTCACTTAAGTTTATGCCCTGGTATGGGACATGATCCCAAGATGTAGAAGCTGGAATTCATCATAAACTGATTAGTTAACTCATTATCAACTTACTATCAAGCTAGAATAATTTTTTGCCAATTTATATTTAAAGAAAAATATTTTTTCAGCAGTAATATTTCCTGCGTTCTATGATTTCAATGATTTTTAAGATATCTTCAGCTCTGCTCATAATGTTAACATTATCAATTGGCACTCTCTTATTTTTTAGTTGAAAATTATGATGTTCAAATTAGGCTGATTCATAAAGACTTCTCATTTGCCATGCAACTTTCTGACTCATTTTTATGCCATTTTGCTGTGTAATCTAAATCATTTTTCTTCTAAAGCTCCCACTGAAGTGCTTTGGCTATGTTGTAATGCCTGCCCTTTTATTCATTTTGCAATTGCATGTGTCTGCAACCAAATATTCATTCTTTAGAATAGCTACGCTGGCTACTGAAATGGAATTTGTATGTTAAAAAATAGATTAAGAATGGTTAAAAATGTCTAGGGTTTTTTACAAGCCAAGTTATTAAATTCGGAAAGACATTCTACCAGTGGCAGAGCCACGGGGAGGAATGGGAGGGACTAGGGACTAGGGCACTCTTTCAGAAAGTTGGTCCTCGAGACTATTGCAAAACTGATGACAGAACCTCATGGGGGGGGGGTGCGTTATCTAGATCGTCACATTAAATGACATTTCTTGGGAGACAAGAGGTGTTTCCTCCGGAAGAAAATGTTTCAAACAGGGAAAAAGGGCTTGGTCCAAAAGGGGGTGGTCCCTGACACACCTTTTGTCCCCCCACTTATCCCAGGCTGGAACCACCAATGCATTCTACTTTCTCTTTTCTTTGTTCTCATAATTTTAAATAATAGTTTAACTGTATTTGGAATTTACATTCATGGTGTCACAATTTTAAGTTTTGCAATGAATAAATGGAATAGTATTCCTTCTTGTGTATGCTGATCATGCTTTCCAACCATCCTTTAAAACGATCTGTTTCTGAGATTGCTTTAATACCAAAATGTCACAATAGCTTGATCATATTTTCTTTATAATTTTTCTCAATATGATATACTTGTATTTGTCATGTTGCATACAATTTGTCATGTTGCATACTATAAAGTAGGAAAGGAGCCAGTTTTATATTATTACGTTACAACTTGTTTCACTAATGATGCTTCATTTTTTTGACCCATGAAGTTACAAGCCTGGAATTATTTTTTGATTTCAGTCGGAGGTATGTAAGAAGATTTTAAAAGATCTTGGACAAGCAAATATTGAATCACAAATGAGAAAAGTCATCATTCTCAGCCAAGAGAGTTTTTACCGTGATCTTGATGAGGAAGAATCAGCCCAGGCAGATACAGGAAACTTCAATTTTGACCATCCAGGTAGTTTCACACATAATAAATATGTCTACTTCACAATTTACTGACATATATAAACGATTTAAATACCATTTCTGTTGCATATACATATACAACCTGAAGGAGCCATTCTGGAGCAGGATCAATGTCGGTTTTGATTGGTGGCATAATATCGTCTTCCATTTTCCATCCCCAGTCTTGCGGGTTCAGACAGCAAAGGTCTAAATGCTTCCACTATGCTACCTGGAAGTTCAAACAATTTTTGGGAATTGATTTCATATTGTGAATAAAATACAGAAGCTAATATGTCATTTTCTTACTTAAACTGACTATAAATTAGAAAAGGAATAAAGACAGTGTTGGGTATTTCGTCCACTTCAGTTATATGAATTGTCATAATTTGATTAAATAGAGAAAAAACGTCATGAACCTGAAGATGCACTCGTAAAGCATGGTAGTATGTCGCTCTTCCAGTTGGAGGAAGATTATCGGGTTCTACTACATTGCTCGTTGTAACCATTTCAATGTATTTGGTGTATCGTATACTAGCCAACGAGTTGTTTTTCTTGCCACCGTAGCTGGAAAATAAAGTATGCAAAATTCAGTTAGTTGATTCAAATTGGTGATACTATTGCTCGATATTTTATTTCAGAAGCTTATTAAATATCTTAAATAGAAATGTGTTTACATTTTAACCACCAGTTGAACACCTGCCTCTCCGATCTCTTGCTGAGTCATTGACGAATTCCCAAATTGTTTTGATATCTCAAGTATTCACCTTCTCTCAATTCTAACTGCTTCAGGATTTTCAGCTTCCCTGTAACAAAGAGAGTGCATATCATTGTAGGTATCCTAGTTCCTAATATCAACTGCAAGGTATGTAATTATAGGTCATGCAGTACAGAGCTGAGCTATTATGCTATTATTATTTCAGTATTATACCTTTTTGGTGCATAACTGAAGTTGTGTCACAGCCACTCCAAGCATGAGCAAAAAAGTGCTTCTTGGTACTGTTGTGTTGATGAAAGGTCCCGCATGCTTCAGTATAACAATTTTGAATGTCGCCTTCTCTTTTCCTTTTTCTCTGTTCCAAAAAACAGTTCTCCCAATCCATCTCTCCAGTGGCTCATCATGAGAACCAATATATCCGTATCTTCTGCCATCACAACAACACATCTACTAGTTTCTGCGTACTCAAGGGCAGTCTTCGCAATTGAGATATCCGCGTCTCCATTACTTTGGACTGCGACAAACCTTTCCCTCTCTAACCGAGTACAAAGCAACTTAATCAACCTTTCCTTGTTATCTATGTTCGCCAGAAATGCTTCCCTGCTACAAGTAACTTTTGAGCTTTCAGTGATTTCAATGCTAGCTGACGTTTTGCTCATTCGACGAAGATGCTCCTGAGCTTTTGTTGACATACTGCCTGAGTATCCATCAAATACAACGTTTACGCAAGTGTACTTCTCAAATCTTTGCTTCACAAATGCAATGTACTGTTCAAGCACTTCAGAATACGTTGGTTTTAGCCAGTGGACTTTGTGGAGCAATGCACCACCATCAACCACGCAAACGTCATTTGTAGTCGGGATAGTTGCATTCTTTGTACCCAGTAAGTGATTTCTAAGAACAGCTTTAGTCAATTTTCTCATCATACCTTGTTTAAAGAGAGACGTCATGTCTGGAGTTAGCTCATAGCAGAAGTTTTCAGTAACGTTATTTTGGCAGTTAGCCAAGGCAGTCAAACGGCTAAACAGTATAGATGGTCACTGTACTGTTCCCAATTTTTGTCTTAGGTAGCAGATCTTCAAGGCATCTTTCATGCTCCTGTTATCAAGTTGGTTTTGGATATTTCGTCCAACATTCTCTGCTTCATCACAGTTCACTCGATCATCAGCAATCAAGCCAGCTGAGAGACTTTTAAGATGTTGCTCGTCTTCACCAAAAGAGTTGTGGAGATTCTTTGATTAACGTAAGATCTTTATTGTCTCGAAACACTCTGCTTGGGCTAAACTGAACATGCTGTTCACTTGTTTTCCTATATGCGCCAGTCAACTCACTCATTGCATTGTGTATGTCTGCACATCTATGCATACTTCCTATCCATAAATCTTCCTTGCGTCAGACCACCGTTGCTCTTCAATGCTCTCATCATCACCTGTTCAATGACCAAATCCGTCCATAAGCCTGACCAAAATCGCTCACTGCGCCTGATAGTGTGCAGATTGCCTCTTGCAAACTGATCATAGACCCAAGGATGAGGGCTTTCCAAATCAAGCATGTTTTGTAGATGCAATCTTGCACATTTAGCATAGTTAACATGGGCTGTAGCAGCGAATAAGTTCAGCATTTTGTTCAAAGGCACCAAATGCAAGTTCAAGTCGCCAGTTCTCTCCGCACGAATAAACTTTTTTACCACAGCGATGTAATCCAGATATTGCAACCATAACTTTGATGTCCGAAACGTTTTAGCGAGGTACTTCTTGTACTCTTCGAGATTGAACGTAATCTTTGAGAGGGTTGGGAATCGTAGCATATTGATATCACGGTGATGCTTTTCTCTGAATTCATTTTTCAATTTTTCCAAATCAGAGCACAAGTCCTCAATCTTCACTGTCGCTTCTTAAAATGTAGGGCGATCCATCTCTTCACAACTATCACCATTTTCTTGTCCAGATGCAATCAATGGTGTCATTAATTTGCAAACCAATGCAGCCTCGATAAGGAAGTGTCCTCTAAGCGCTCTCGACACAGCCTTCCCAGAGAGGATATGAGGAACTGTGGTCTTCCCATAAACACCTTCAAGGGCTTTCTCTATTCCACTTTCTTTCATTACAGCACCAATGAGAAAGCTCATCAGAAGATGAACCCTCCTAAGATGCAAACTACGTTCATTGATTTTGCATTTATTATCTCGAAAGCTTTAATCTGCAATGGCTGATCAAATGTGATAACTGGCGTGTGTATCCCAATATTCTTTGCTTGTGATTCTACGAATTTCAAAGTCGAAAAAATGCATGACATATCTGATGGGTTTAAATCAACAATTGGCTGTAGAGAGACGGTAGATTTACCAGGATATTCACCATGGCTTATATCAGTTATGTAGCCAGACCAGCTTGGACGTGGACTTGGAAGGAAGTATGAAGCATGCCAAACGTAGTCAAGGACATTCTTTTAGTGCATGGCAGATTTTACGTTTAGTTCATTTAATGGTTTGAGTCCCACGGATGACAGACCTATCTTTTCTGGTGGATGGTAGTTCAAAATTGGAAATCCACTCCCGATTACAAGATTATCAGCAGACTTGATCTTCTGCCTTGGGATTGGTGAAAGGTCTTGAATGGATGTGATTGAGACCCTGGTGTGGTTGAGACCACCAAGCCCATCCTATGAAATGTACCTTTTCTATCGATCGTACATACGTTGTGATCTTCATTTTCAGCAGACCATTGACTGAAGGATCCACAGAGATTTGATTTTATAAAATCATTCATACTCTCATTACAGACGACAGACTGTTTATACCGTGCTACTTCATCATAACTAATTGAAAATCCAAGTCGATTTGACTCGGTCAAAAGCCACCTTGATTCGAAAACTTTTTCCATTTCCACTCCTAATTTAAACAATAGTAGACCTTGACCTTGGTCTCACTGCATTCACAATAGTTTGAGCGATGCGAGATTGCTTCAGACCTTTCTTAACTAGTGTCTCTATGAAAAGACGTAAATACCCTGGCACCCATTCTTTGCCAAATTTAATGCTGCTAATTTGATCTTGTGATGGGTATTCTTCAACATCAAACTGAGCAGATCTTATTTGTCCTAAGATTATTTTGGCAGCTTGTTTAACAACCCTTTCTGCCTCTTCCTCAACAATATCTTTTCTGCTCTCATACCACTTGTCATTGATGAGATATTATGCAGAATCTCTAAAGCATATAACGTCTGCCTTGCCTTGTTTTTCAGAGAAAAATATCATTCCATCATAATCTTCTTTCAGCTTTGTCTTTAACCATTTTTTTGTATATGCATCATCTGATCGCGAAATTTCCTTCATTTTTCATGCAATTCTGCCCTGAATAAACTTCACCTTCTATTTCTAGCTAGCTACATAATCTTTGAAAGTGTTGTTGTTGTGCAGAGTTGTTTGGTCTTCCTTTGGATTTTGGTGCACTAGAGTCTGATTTTGTACCTACAGTAAATCTCACTCTGCAATCGTCGTGATATAGTGCTTCTTCTTGTACAAGATCGACGCAGTTGATCACCCTTCTTTTTACCTCTTCGGCCCGAAAATCATATTGTCTTGACTTGCACATATGCAGAATGGTTTCCTTGAAGTGTAGAGTGTAACTCTGACAACTGGTCTTCTACCAGGGTGTTTTGGGTCTTCTTTACATTGGCTGCCACGGAAGAGGCAATACTTCTTCCGAATAAACGTATCAAGTGATGATCGTGTAAGCTTCTCTGGTACTTCATGCTTATTTCTAAAATTAAATTCTGGATTTGCTTTCCTTTTTCTTATAGAATTTCCTAAACTCTTCTGGCCGTTTATGTGAATCTTGACACTGCAATTTTCTTTCTGCCTTGCAATAAGATATGCCGTTAATGACACGAGATTGAAAATATTTGCATATTCGATTAATTTTGGAATCCCTGACTAACAATCACGAAGTCCATCGGGTTTTGTCCTTGGCATATGACACAAAAAGCTATGATCTTGAAAATTGAGAGAAATAAACGGTTCATATTACACTTTATAAGTTTTATCCATTTCAATCTTAATAATATTAGATACAATTTGGATTGTACAGTATCTGCAAAATAGTCAAAGTGAAGAATGATAAATCCGATTCTTGGAGATAACAAAATAAGTCAAAATATACTTACATTTGAAATTACAAAATCATGCCTTCAAATAATCACGAAAGCAAGTTAAATATTAGAATAGCGTCAGAAACAGTTTTCGCGCGGATTTCGTGTGAAATTAGACCCAGGCCCCTCGTATTTGTAAAGCTTTATAGCCTTTCAAATTGTCATATCATTTGTACAAGCCCCTAACAAGCCCCGAAATGTTCGATAGTGATGACGTCACTGATGACGTCATCATGTTATTTTTAAACTTTGTTGGATTAAGCGTGACATATTTCAAAGTATTAGTGCAAAGTTTGAACTGTTTTCAATATGCAGTTTAAGGTACATAATGTCTTTTCAACAGAAGGATTCGCAGTTAAATATCGGAAGTCACATCAAATATATATATAGGAAGTTAATCGTATATATATAGCTTGTTTTTTCAAGGACATATATTATGGTTTATTTTCTCAATCATTCTTAATTTCTCAATCTGCCGCTGATACATCTACATACCGAAATGTTTTTGCCAAATTGGCTGTCTTTAGCATGATGATGCAACATAAAGCATCTTTGACCTGTTCATTTCTATATATTTTCCAGACGGACTTCTGTCGATCTTCCTAGTGTTCCATCATATGCCATTTAAGCTCATTCCCACGCACTGCTATTAGCTCCTCCCCCTGCCCATAAGGTTCTCAGAAGCTGGCGATGACATTTTATTTCAAATGTTTAAACTATATTTAGTGCTTGTGTACTTTCTCAAACTAACCTGCAACTCCTTAAAGACTTACTTAAGTTTTGTTCTTGTTGATTCGTTGCAGATTTTTTGTATGCGTTACTTAACGTGCACAAACTACAAGGAAAACTTATACCGATGATCACTGAATTGTTCTCGCAACTTCGTTCTTGGTACTTCTATCCTTCTATCCCTATCCTGAACATTCTACTTTCCTGATCTTCAAAGCCAAAAATAGTTAATTGATAACATCACTCCCATACGAATTTATGATAATTTAGCTAGAACCTTATTATGACAGAATGAATTCAGTTTGTCAACAGCCTTAGTTGTTTCAAATTTACTCTTTCTCTTTTCTTCTGTGTCTCTCTTATTTTTCTTTTCTTTCCTCTTCTTCTCCCTTTTCGGTGACAAAGCTTCCTTCTTCCACCTCTGTAGCGACGTCAGCTTTGTCAAAAATAAAACTTGGCTGTATTCCCTTGTTGCCCGACAGTTTATACAGGGTACACCTACCAGGAGTGACAGCCACATGCCAAATTAATATAAAATTTTCGTCTCTATAAGCCTGTTACGTGATTAGATCACTGTTCAGGAGATGTCGGTGGACTGAAATATTTCTCGTATGAATACAGTAAGGTAAGTTAGCTGATAGATTAGTCGGTACAAAAGGTTTTGCAAAATTCTTAAAGCTATAATAGAAGGTGTCATATCAGGATCTTTAGAGTAAAGATGTATTTGATAAGATAAATAGAGTTCCTGAGTTCTATGAGTCAGAATGATACTGTAGCGTTTTTGTATCTTGTCTTGAATTCGTTTTCTTAAAGTTCGATATATGTTTCTGTAGTTTTGTTGTCTCTGCCTGTCAGGGTGACTTTGTAGATGACGGTTGAGTGTTAGACTTGCTACATACAAGTCTCTCTCTCACATTACTAAATAGCGAGAGAGACTTGTAGCAAATCCAGTAGATTGCAGCACTTTTTCTTCAGGGTACATATGTTATTTTGTTGGTTTTTGCATGTTTTGTTGACATTGGACTTGTTTGGGGGTGGTTTGTCAACCGAGTCTTGATAACCGAGATATTGATAAAAAACAACTCGTTTGCTTCAAAACAACATTAACATATCGAAACAACTCAGCGAGAACATCAGCAAATCCAATCTAAAACCATCTTGGCGGCCATGTTACCACGATCACGCGGGCCAGACTCCATGGGTCGTTACCAGACTCTTTAACTGGCTGCGCAGCGGCACCATGTCAAGAAGCCTGATAACTGGGTGCGTGCCGTTGTGTGGGGTGGAAATACCACAAAATTTATTTATCTACTTCAAGTAGTAACTAGTGTCCTTCACAACTATCATGCATATCATGTAACAGATCTTGACGGTGTTATGGTTGAAGAGATTTTTCTGAGCTTGTGGTCTTTGTGGAAATGTTTTTCTATGAGGTTGTGGAATCTGTGTCCGATGTCGGTGCTGACGTTTTTGTTGAGTGGGATGTTATACCATATTACGTTGTTCTATTGCTTTTCTCCTCGTGTTGGCCATAGTTGGCTTGCAGTGTCGAGTGTGCTTGTATCCGCTTTCATCGAGAGCCTTTTCGTAAGGGTTGGTCGAACGGTACTCTGTCGGAGGAAAGTGATAATTGACGTTGGTTGAGACCAGTGGGTGTATTTTTAACTGAAAATCTCGGGTGGTTGCTCTCGCGGTGGACATATTGTAGGGTGGTTACGGGCTTCGTGTAGGGTTGGTAGGTACCTTTGTTCAGACTTAGGGTGAAGTTTAAAAAGTTGAGGATTTGTTTGTTTGCTTCTTTTGTGATACGTAGTCCGTTGTGGTTAATAATACGGCATATTTTCTTTTTGGCGTTGTCTTGTCTCTTGATGGTGCGCCTATGTTGATTAAGAAGGTAGTCCTATGTTGATTAAGAAAGTAGAAAGCTTCCTACCAACTCGCCTGTTTCGGCGCTGTAATAGCTGCCCATCGTTGCATCGAATGTGGTGCTGTTTTTGTTTTCCCAAGTTTGCCGTTTGGGTATTAGGATGGAGTTCTTGAAAAGGACAACCATGTTCCGTTCGTCATTTTTTATGTCGTGGTTGGTGGGAGGCGAATTCGAGTGTTCTGTTTGGGAAGTCTTGGTTGGTGGATGAGTAAAATTCATCTCTTTACAAAATCGAAGCAGAGAAAGTTGTGATTGAGCTTGTTTTTGATATATATCTTTATTTATTTCTTTTCCAAAGTAACAGTTGATTGAGAGATATAGAAAAATATCTTAATTGCGTTTGATTGCTTTTTTGCAGGAGCCTTTGACGACAGCCTGTGTTTAAAGACATTAAAAAGCCTTCTTAGGGGAGAGCAAGCTGTTATACAAAAATACAGTTTTAAGAATCACTCAAGGTTATTAAAAACTATTCTTTGTTTTGAAAATTTAGTTAAAGGATGTATAAATTTTATTTAAAATATAAAGCTAATAGCTTGATAATATATTTTTGAAATTCTGCTGTGATTGAAATAAAATTATATTTGTGACAAGCAGATGATTGCACGATTTTTTACTGGTGAAGCCATTGTCTATGAGGTGGAGTTTTAATATAAATTATTTCCGCATACTTGAGTACATTCTCTTCACATTCAACGTGTTATTTATCTTTATGTTCTATTATTCACCATCGATCAGCATTCCTGTTTGCATTTTTTTGTAATTTTTTTCATTTGAAGATTGCTGACTCAGGTGGACTCCCTATCTAAAGAATATTTTTTCATTTTTGGAAATCAAGCTTATTATAGAAATTTGAGTTAATCATTTTCGTCGATTTTGTATGTATTGACTTTGAGAATGCTGAATGATGGTTTTGAGCAGAAAAAGAAAGAGATCAGCTTAACTACTTGTTATAGTCACTTCTGTAGTATTTACCCTGTCTATTATTATTCATACAGAGAAACAGACTACAGCATTGTCCACCCAGCTGATGTCATAATTTTTGAAGGAATTCTTGCTTTATATAATAAAGAAATACGAACACTTTTGGATATGAAGATATTCGTAGACACTGACAGCGATACAAGACTAGCCCGTCGAGGTAAGTTTTGCTTAACAACTAATCCGACCGTACAGATATGAATTTGCTTGGAAGACGAACAGTGTTGCCAGATAAATCATCAGTTCCACTTAAAGTTTGCTGCTCAATGCCAAGTCTGAACTAACACTGTTGATTACTTTGCATTGCAGTCTGGCCCTGTACTTTTTAATTTCTGCACCAGCCCAAATCTCTTATAATCTTGCCGTAAGGTGGTAAACTAGCACCAGCCGCTTTTTATTTCTTTTCCGAATTATTTTTCAATCCACTTATAACCTACACTGCTACCCTTCATTGCTACCCTCCGCTGCTACCCTCCACTGCTATTCTCCACTGCTACCCTACACTGCTACCCTTCATTGCTACCCTGCTATTCTCCACTGCTACTCTCCACTGCTATTCTCCACTGCTACCCTCCACTGCTACCCTACACTGCTACCCTCCACTGCTATTCTCCACTGCTACTCTCCACTGCTATTCTCCACTGCTATTCTCCACTGCTACCCTCCACTGCTATACCCTCCACTGCTACCCTCCACTGCTGCCCTCCACTGCTACCCTCCACTGCTACCCTCCACTGCTACCCTCCACTGCTATTCTCCAATGCTACCCTCCACTGCTACCCTCCACTGCTATTCTCCAATGCTATCCTCCACTGCTATTCTTCAATGCTACCCTCCACTGCTACCCTCCACTGCTATTCTCCAATGCACCCTCCACTGCTACCCTCCACTGCTATTCTCCAATGCTACCCTCCACTGCTATTCTCCAATGCTACCCTCCACTGCTACCCTACACTGCTATTCTCTAATGCTACCCTCCACTGCTATTCTCCAATGCACCCTCCACTGCTATTCTCCACTGCTATTCTCCAATGCTACCCTCCACTGCTATTCTCCAATGCTCCCCTCCACTGCTACCCTCCACTGCTATTCTCCAATGCTATCCTCCACTGCTATTCTCCAATGCACCCTCCACTGCTACCCTCCACTGCTATTCTCCAATGCTACCCTCCACTGCTATTCTTCAATGCTACCCTCCACTGCTATTCTCCACTTCTATTCTCCACTGGTACCCTCCACTGCTACCCTCCACTGCTGCCCTCCACTGCTACCCTCCACTGCTATTCTCCACTGCTATTCTCCACTGCTACCTTCCACTGCCACCCTCCGCTGCTACCCTCCACTGCTACCCTCCACTGCTACCCTCCACTGCTATTCTCCAATGCTACCCTCCACTGCTATTCTCCAATGCTACCCTCCACTGCTACCCTCCACTGCTATTCTCCAATGCAATCCTCCACTGCTATTCTCCAATGCACCCTCCACTGCTATTCTTCAATGCTACCCTCCAATGCCTTTTTCCACTTCTATTCTCCATTGGTACCCTCCACTGCTACCCTCCACTGCTGCCCTCCACTGCTACCCTCCACTGCTACCCTCCACTGCTACCCTCCACTGCTATTCTCCAATGCTACCCTCCACTGCTACCCTCCACTGCTATTCTCCAATGCTATCCTCCACTGCTATTCTTCAATGCTACCCTCCACTGCTACCCTCCACTGCTATTCTCCAATGCACCCTCCACTGCTACCCTCCACTGCTATTCTCCAATGCTACCCTCCACTGCTATTCTCCAATGCTACCCTCCACTGCTACCCTACACTGCTATTCTCTAATGCTACCCTCCACTGCTATTCTCCAATGCACCCTCCACTGCTATTCTCCACTGCTATTCTCCAATGCTACCCTCCACTGCTATTCTCCAATGCTACCCTCCACTGCTATTCTCCAATGCTACCCTCCACTGCTACCCTACACTGCTATTCTCTAATGCTACCCTCCACTGCTATTCTCCAATGCACCCTCCACTGCTACCCTCCACTGCTATTCTCCAATGCTACCCTCCACTGCTATTCTCCAATGCTACCTTCCACTGCTACCCTACACTGCTATTCTCTAATGGTACCCTCCACTGCTATTCTCCAATGCTACCCTCCACTGCTACCCTCCACTGTTACCCTCCACTGCTACCCTCCACTGCTACCCTCCACTGCTACCTTCCACTGCTACTTTCCATTTATTTTTGGTGGAGCAGGGCAACCGTATAACAATCCCACCAAATTTTTTTTAAACCGAAATTTTTCTTGCTGAAAACTTCAAACGCTAGCAAAACCTCGTTTTACACCGATGGACTTTCAAAATAGCGAAAAAGTTTCCTTGGTGCTGTTTGAATATTACTCTGCATCCAATACATATCAATTTTCAGTTTTTGGTTCTTCTTCGTCTATGGGCTAAACTCACTACTCTTCTTCTTCATTCTTCATTTTTCTCTCAATCATTTCTTTCTAACGTTCCAGCTGTTTCAATTTTTTAACTCCAATTTGGATGCCTAAATTTTTAACTCACAATCGATCAGAATTTCTAATCTCGCCGTTGCGTTTTGCGATCGAAATCATTGAAAACTCACTGTACACGCTCCAAATTTATTTTCCTCCACGGGTTATAAAAAAATGAAATAAAAATTCCCTCCTCTAAATGAGAGGTTATGACATTCGTGCCTACTCTTCATTTTCATTATTGGGCTGACATCAAAATATGATGATTGTGTGAAGATAATTTTATGTTGAAGATTGAAGTGTTGCCTTTTTTTACTTGCCAAATTTTTTTCTTTCTACCAAAATTTTTCAAGTTCTCACCGAAATTTACACCGAAATATAGAAAATAGAAGCGAAATTCTTTCCACCGAAAATTATTCTGCTGAAATTTTTGGCACCGGATTTTTTCATACTTATTCTAGACTCTCAAATTAACAACGCCATACTAACGCTAGCTGCCGACCTATTCAGTATTGTGGGATAGTTTAGGCCCAGAAATTTTCAAAAAGATAAGCCGACACTTTCAGTACAGCTACGTAAAAGGCGTTGATTTATTCCAATGATATTGGGCCTATATTAAACACCTTTGCTCCAAAGTTATTGTAACGGCCAAAGATGTAGGATTGAATATTAATGAAGCAAAGATAGAGATTACTCTATCTACATCTTAGCTCTTAGCTATTCGATGAAAAACTGAATGTGCGGGGGATCGTAGGTGGGTAGCTTTTTCAGAAACATCAACATATGGACAACTAGGCGTGGACTGCAATAAGGGCAATTAACAACATCTGAAAGCCATATGTGTTAAATGAAACCTGAAGATACAGTTATGCAGATCAAAACTCAAGAATATTTAACTATAATTCACCTGAAGCGTAAACATTGATTGAGGAAATAGTGAATTAGCCAAATTGCACATGCACCTGACTCTCAACATCATGCCTAAAATTTGCATTTTGTACAACACATTATCAATAAAGACCTTTACGATGAAATTCCCCTGCTTTTTCATAAATCAAAAATGAAAATTATACTTTGCTGGATTTTGCTTCAGACGAGCAAGGTATTATTTTTCCTTTCGGGAAATTATGCAATGGGGTATTAACTAAAAAGGGTAGGCTGGGCCACATACAAACTCATTGCTTACTTTGATTGTAGCTAAAGTACCTACTTTTCCCCATCACCTTTCCTTAGTAGAATAGCTTTTTGAAGCCTGGGTCTAATGCATAAAATACTGCTATTGATCGATATGTGTTGTTTATAAATGATTTCAATATTTTCATGCTTAAGTTTTCATATTTTTTTTTCTAACATCCAGTCATCGCTTGAATATTTACATAAGCTTTTAGGTGCGATTGCATCAGTAATTGTAAGTGAAGCAATCCTCAAGTTGTTGTAAGGAACAAAATTTAAAATTGTATGCAGTACAACACTGCAGAACGTTTATCAATAGGATAGTCTACTTGATGCTGAGATAGTTATCCGTCTAGAATTATCATTTAACACTTCATTCATTAACTGCAATATTTATTTAATTTTTATTTTATCACTATATCCGTTAACCCATTCATGTCCAAATTTGGATTCAGATTAAGAAAACATCCAAACCACAAATTTGTATGTTATTTTGTGCTTAGAATTTGATTATCAAATTTGAACTTGACTGACATTTGGGGGCGAATTTGGGGGCTAGGACATATGGCCTTTGCGGGCACTCGGGAAAGCTAATACCAGAAATCAGCTGACAAGAAAGGACTTCTGTTAAAAAAAATAATATTTGAACTTTTTACACTCTTTTTACTTAAAAATCTCAAGTTAAACGTCCATTCGCCTTGTGAAATGACAAAAAAGCAGCTCCCTTTGTCAGTTAAAGACAACCCTTTTTCACATTTTTGACATCCGACTCTTGTTTTCCCCACATATAAAGCACCTTGGTCTGTCCTTTTCTTGGCCAGTGCTAAGTTCCATCAAAACGAGGAGTGGCTCCAGGTCCTTGCACATTTTGAGCTTTTCTCGGCCTTTCTACTCTTCTTCATTGCTAGGGCGGCCTTTTCCTCTTTTCTTCACTGCTTTCTTCTCAAGTACTTTTCCAACAAGTGAAGTAAAGTCTAGCCTATCAGTTTGCTTTGCTTCTGGAACTTCATTTTGCTTTGCAAGGCGTCTGTATGAATCCATAAACCTATAGATCCTAATATTGCCTTTTCTGTTCATGTGCTCCATCTAGTACAGTGTTTGAATCAGGTCAAATCTACAAACCCTGTACCTCTGCTGTATGCCTCAATAATTGCTGACCTTGGTACTTCAATATGTTTCCTTTCACTTGATGACCATCTCTTTACTGAGTCGATTGGCTCTGTATAGGCATAGTTACAAAGCGGGCCATTTTGTTGTCGAACCCGAGAACAAGTGTTAACCCTGAGTTTAAACCAACAGAGGCACGAAAAGAGCCACAACACTTTATTCAACTCTTTTTCTGATTTCAGTTGGCATCCTCTGAGTCTCCTTTGACGAAGAGTGCCAATTGTCCAAAACTTTGAATCCTTCATTCTGAGTAGCAACTCAAGAAAAATGAAATAATTATAGTTTCTAATTTTGACCCTCAATCAGAGTAGAACCTGTCTTGAGAGCAATATCACTAGCAACACAGCTTTCCATATAAGGGGCATGAGTATTCAGGGCTCCTTTCATGTCACAATCGTAGGCAAACCCGCCCTACCCATTTCGGGGAAAAACAGCTTAAATCCCCATTTCTTATTTTCTCAACTATATTTTTATTTATTGCTTTATTTATTGCATTGTAGTTTTTAGATTTTAATGTACTTGTTGCTATATTTCTTTGATTATAGTTTTAAACGAAACCCCTTTTAATTGCTGTGTTAATCTAACTTAATTTTCACTCGATATTTTTTCTGTTGTTGAATACAGGCTATATGTGTATGTATATATCTGTCATTGAACTGGAGTTCATTGAAAACATAGCAACCGAAACCAATAAGCCGTGGGGTTATTGGGTTCGCTACTAGAATGTATGCTTCAATGTAGAGTTGTTATTGTTCATTGATTCTAAGCTCTGCTCAAAGTCTCGCCTTTCATGCATACAATACGTTGCATAATATCTAGCAACCTGCTAATGCGCTCTTGCTGCAACTTGTTCTACACTTACTCCTGTTTCCTATAGGTTATTATCAAGAATTCTTTGTTTTTTGTAGTTCTAAGAGACATACTAGAGCATGGAAGGGACATTGACAATGTGCTTAGCCAATACACAAGATTCGTGAAACCTGCATTTGAAGATTTCACTTTACCGGTATGTCGTATTTATAGTCTTCTTAATGACCAACTCTTGTCAGGTTTCGACAATATCGTTCTGCTTAATTTTGCTTAGATTTACCTTGCTCTCAAAGTTATGTATGAGCATTGAAGAAACAAAGTTCGTTTTAGTACGCTTATTAATCAAAACAAAGATTATTAAAATCATTTACGTATATTCAGGAGGCCTAAACGTGAAGACCACACCGAAGCGAAGGAAGCTTTTAAATGCAGATCATCACACTATTCAGCGTGTTTGGCAAAGTTCTCACCTTAACATGAATCACGAGTCACCATCAAATATACCCTTAGAAGCATTTGACAGGGGCGTAGCTACAGGGGTATGGGGGTGTTACACCACCCTAATATTTCCAAACAGTATTAAAATTCGGGGCAAATACTCGGGGAAAAAAAATTCCGACATTGGTGATATTCCTCTTAACAGCCATATGAATAACTTAAATATAAATAATTATTTTATTTATTATATATTAATAGGGTTTAAATATAATACAATAATTGTTTTATGTTTTTCATTGAAATCCTTATTAATCAAATTTTCGGGAAATTCATGAAAAACGGGAAAATTTGGGCAAGAATTTGACCCCCTCCCCCAAACACTTGAGGTATCAATACGCTCTTGTTTAGAACTATCAACAGGTTTTTGACATAGTTCCCCTAACCAAATCTACCAAAAGAAATGAAGCTAAAGATGAAACTTCGAAAAAATAAAGTTACATACTTAAGGCATTTAATCTACATTTGTGTATCACTTTTCCGAAACGGCATACCAGATTTCTCTAGAACAAGAGGATTTTTAGGGATTTTTGGCATATTTTTCTCGAAGACAAGAGGATTGAGCGAGATTTTTTGTGGAGTGATATTCCACTCGGACTGGTCTCAGTAATCTCTGTCTTTGCAAGGATTCTTGAGTGAGTTGGCATAAACAGTTATACGATTCCTTAAAATCCAACAATTCGTTCACGCCAACTCAATCAACTCTATTAGACAGTTACATCTTTAGTAATTATACTGAATTTTGGTATGCTTATATAGATCAAGCGCAGTTAAGCTTGGCAATATTTTCAAATACGTTCGCTACTATTGGCCACGAAGAACTAAGAAGCAAGCTGAAATCATATTGGATAAGAAATTATTCTGGGAAATGGTTTGAGTTATACCAATATGTCGAGAAGCTACTTGTGGGATTCTGCAAGAATCGTACCTGGGTTTACTTCCCTTTATTCTCATTCTATAGTTATGTTTATAGTTATAATATTTATCCTAAAAACAGAATATATGATCACTGGAAATGCACACTAAAGACAAGAAGTGTCTAAAGAAAAACCTTTGAATTTAAATGATTATGAAATAAGAACTAAATCCCTATGATAATAAGAACTAAATCACTATAATAATCACTCGGAATCATTATTGATTGTACTCAGTTTGGATGAACAATTTAAGGCAGGGAAATCTAAAATACAAGAGATTCTTTGATCGATGAAAAGACTCTTCCTCTATCCCAGCTGCTCAACGCATGTAGAGCTTTTAAAAAAAAATATGCGCTATGCAGATGCCATTTTTCGACGTATTCCAAAACAGAAAATTGATTATTTACAAGTCTTTTAGAACACAACAGTATCCATCATTTCAACTGCTAAACAGAAAAATTGTGATCAAACAAAGTTTGAGAATTACTAGTCTAATATCGTTTGACAGATCTATCATGAAATATAGAATTGTAAACTGGTTTTGTTTCGAAAGTCTTTGGAATAAATTCAGTTTAAGATCCCAAATTTCAGGTTTTAGCGCAAGATTTTGATAGAATATAGAGATTCTTCGGTACAATTTAAAACATTCAAAGGAATTTTTCCCATATAACGCTCGTAGTGCCTGGATAAAACCATATGACAATGGGAAACTCCCCAGCCTATGTCAATTAAAAAAGAACTCAACAACATTTGTTGAGTTGAAAACATAAAACATTGCGCCCTGGAAGATCAGCAATTGCTTCGCATCTTCTATAGCCAAATATTTTTCAATCTATTTATAAAATTTAGACTGTTAATACTTAAAAGATTTATTTATCCTTGTCAGTAAGAGGTTAAGCGCAAATCATGTATGCAAAGTTGAATGTGAAATATGAATTTAACTCGGGCTAGTTTGCGGCTATGGCTTGAATCTTTCTACATTACTTTGGCAGGCCAAAATATTTTAATTATTTCTTTGATCGATATTTATTCATACGTCTTCTTAAATAGATTAGGTGAACTCAAGCTGGTTGCTTGCTCGATACTATCATTTTCATTGATTTTCTTAATTCTAAATGCAGGGAGAAATGATTTCCTTTCTTGCTTTTAAATTAATTATGAGCGCCCGCATCTGCGGTTCATTTACCGACCTTCTTTTTCGTGTGAACTAGCTGCCACCATGCTATCTTGCTGTCATAAAATTGCTTGACATGACCTGTTCAATAATTGAATACGCAGTACACGATGTATATTGAAAGTTCTGTCATCATTGCATTACACAGATTCCACTTTCCAACATTTAAAGACATATTATTTGGTTCAACAGCTTTTTCGCACACTGTCATACTGAGCAATGTGATCCAAAATCATCATTTAAAATTACTTAACAATGCCATAAGAACGCACATAATAGGCCGTGGGTGACTTATCGAGATGTACTGTGATATGATGAGCGATGTAGTTATCATGTTTGCGATTAGTGACCATCTGAATCTGATGACTTTGATTATTTCAATAGCTTACGGTGATGCAAATGTCTTCAGTGATAATGGTACCAAATTTGAAATGACGAGGATTATCATAATTTTTGCTTTTGAGCAATATATACTATTGAGCCTTCAATTTTGTCAAGGTAGACAAGCACGATGAAGTTTGGACCATTCTTTCACCTCTTGTGTATCCTGTCAAACTAGTGATCTAAGATAAACCATGTAAACTCTGTCCGAATGTAAGAGAGAATTTTACCAACAAGACTATACATAATACGCAAAAATCCTCCAGCCAATCTTTCCCATCGATAGAGATATTTAGAAGAAATAAGCCTTGCTTTCGCCAATATTCAAAGACCGAAGGTGGAAAATCGTTATCATGTTTGCAGAAAATCCTAATGTCATATGTCAAGCGGTGTTAAATTTCGGGGTCTGTTTGATAGTAAATCTTAATCTGAAGAAAAGTTGCAGGAAAAACTTATTAAAAACTTTATTAAAATTTTCAGTCCACGATAATGAGATAGCAAATACCATGAATTCTCCCTAGTTTTCTATTGATGGCAAGATCACCGATAAGATTGAAAGTCCACAACACCACTTCTTCTTTTTACCCAAAAACCTGTTGATCACCTGGGACAGAAAGACGTGTCTTTTGTTGAGAGATGTCCGTTGTATAAAGGTGTCCGTTGTAGAGAGGTTTCTTTAAGGAAGTTTGGCCACCTGGGACCGGACCATTTGCTTGTTGTTGAGAGGTGTCTGTTGTATAGAGGTGTCAGTTGTAAAGAGGTTTCTCCAAGGACGTTTTGACCACCTGGGACAAGAACATATCCCTGTTTTTAGGTGGTGTCCGTTGTATAAAGGTGTCCGTTGTAAAAAGGTTTCTTTATAGACATTTTGACCACCTGGGACAGGAACATATGCTTGTTGTTGAGAGGTGTCCGTTGTATAAAGATGTCCGGTAATCGAGGTTCCAATGTATATGGTTGTAGCTAAAGTAGGCATACTGAAGTCCAAGATGGCTTTCTGCCAACATAAAACCTTCAATGAAGTTTTGCTAGCTAAGCCATCAGTCCTACACCCCTTACGCCCCCCTGAATAAGCTCCCATCTCCGAGTTACTTTTAACAAAAAAGGCACCCTCTCAAATAAGCCCCCTTGAGAATCAATTCCTACTCCAAAGGATGTTGATCTTGCGGAACCATCCAAATTGCTTGTTGATGCAGATTGTTCTCTTGAAGAGGAAATCTATGTTGAAAACTGATTGCAAAATTTATTACTTGCATAAGTTAAAGTATTGTAAGCGATAGAAGTATTTCTTCTGTTGAATAGTCTTGACCCGTGTTGAGTCCAGTGTTCTCTATTCCCTATGTTACGACATGAAAGTGGCACGAAGATATGTCACAAGATTTTGTGTTGCTTCTACTATACCAATACCTGTAGTTTCTCAAAACACAACGTTCGATAGTAAAAAGTAAAATAAAAGATGGAAGAACATGTTTTAATTTTTATAAATTGCAGATTATTCTCGATAAATTTGCTGTTCACATTTTGATTTGCAGCAAACCCTATTCCCGAGATTTTCTGTCTGATCTCATTTTGTTTCTTGTTTCGATATTATGGCTTTCAAAGATTATAAAAAGTTGTAGCTTTTTGGGGGTTTTTTATCGTCATCAATTTGGTAATCATTGTATTTATGAAGGCCTTGATTTTTAAAAGTTTTTCTTTACTTATATGTTTTTGTTATCATTAAAGTTTTTAATTTTGTCTTGTCCTTCATTTTGAACTTCTTGAATTAGCCTTGCGTTTCTTGGGAAATTTGACCCAATGTCATTATTGTGTGTTTATGTTTTGTTTGTTGATTTATATAAATACACTGGTACTTTATAGTTTACTTGTTAATCGTGACAATTATGTTTGAGTAGAATTCATTTTAATGAGATTAATGAGATTAAGTGGTCGAACGTATGATTTCGTTTTTAATTTTTTTTCATTTCGACCCAGTATTATATAGCCATTTTCAAGAATATGTGTGCTTTAATAAAATATTTATGGTGTTTGATGTATTATTAGGAGCACGTTTGGTTTTAGGATGTTTAGCACTGTATTCCAACGTTTATGTAATTTTAGGTCAAAACCAACTCTAGATTGTACGTTCTAATGGTCAGGAGCGCAATATTCAAATCCCAATAGTTTCAAGTTTATTATTGCATTCAAAATTTAAATATGTTTTTATTTCGACGCTAGGCGTGTTTTCTTTTACTGACAAGTCTGTTACGTGTTTTCGTTGCTTGTAAGAGTCAATATGGAACAAGAGATAATAAATTATTACCACTTATGTGGGCAGATGGTTACTTCGGATGTAGGTGTTCCCGAAGAAAGTATGATAATGAAAATACGATATGATGTTGCAGATGCAATTATATGCTCTTTAGATAGAACCAAATTACCAATATTTACAAAATCTGATCTTGCTGCCGAAATCGATTTATTAATGTTTAGTCTTTTGGATCAAATCCAAACTTGTTAGAGTCATTTTTAAGAATCTCCAGATCTTTCGGTAAAAATCTTGGACGCGGTCTTCCCTCGAATTCCATGTTGTTTTGTTAATCAGATCAGTCGTAATAGATATTGCGGACTGTCGTAGCTCTATTACATCTATAATCACGGAACAAATACGTTTGTGCATCGTTATCGTTTAAATGCACGTTTATTCATGTTATTTCCTCAGCTGGCTGTTTTGCCTCATTATAATGTAACTTAATTTTGTGTCAAGGCCAGTGTGTCCGTAAAAGTATCCCCCAAAAATTTTAGGGTTTTGTTAGAGCTGTTGATACTTTCAACGCTTCAGAGCAGTTTCGCGTTATTCGATGTTTGGTTGCTCGAGGTTTTTCTGGGTTTTTCGGTTATAACTGTAAGAGGACATTTACTGGACGATTTTCCTTTTGTCTTTCTGCGTTGCACACATCTCTTGCAAAACGTTTTGAAACCCTTGTGTAGGCCGGCGTATATGCAGCAGTTAGTGACGCTGCTCAGGAGGACAAGTGATCCAAACCAATCATTCATTGTTATGTAGTCGCCCAACCTCTTCAAGTCTCCCGTAATTCCAAGCTCATACACCATTGCCACATAGAAGACGTTATACGGCAGCGTGCATGCAGTGAAGACGAGGAAAGCTACCAACAACACAATAAGAAGATTTACTTCTTTTGCATGGCCACGTTTCGATTTGCCAAGGATTGCTTTGCCGCGTTCGCGCATGACGTTTGCTATGCAGATGAGGGTGTAGCTCATGATAACCATTGGTACGAGGCTTTGAACGAAGAGAATGGATAGATTGAAGGCCAGCTCTTTGCGGGGGCTGTTCCAACGTGGCAAGCAGTGTTTGCCAACAACTGTTATTGTGTTTATGTACGGTATAAAACAGATGAACGATAGTAGCCATATTACCAAAACAGTTAGATGAATACAGCCTCGACGGTATCGTGGTTTTAGAGGCTGTACAATACCACGATAGCGTTCTATGGCAATGCTGGCAAGTATCCAGGAAGAGGCATTAACTGATATTGGTTCAATTGCAGACATGATTCGGCAACCTGCTTTCGTGAAGTGGGCTCTTTCTTCATGCGAGAGTATAGTAAATATGGTACGTGGTGGAGTGCATAGTGAGACTAGCAAATCAGCAATGGCCAAGTGAAGAATGTAGGTGTCATAGAGTGTACGCTTTACCTTTTTAGCGAAGAATACGATCACACAAGAGTTGCCAGCAACGCCCAGAATGAAAATTGATATGTAAAGGGTGATGAGCAATATTGATTTTGTGTCGTACATCAAGTCACCATTATGCATGTTTGAAGAATCTGTTGGAAGGTAGGAAGTTACTGACCTTGCAATTGGTTGGTTTGTGGTAGCTGTTAGATTCATTTTCTTTAACTGTGAAGTGGTGATGTATCTTCTACTCAGCAACTAGCTGATCTCTCGGAAGGTCTCTTGCCAAATAGATTTTGCAGACGGTTCCTCTGTACCCAACCTGCAATGATGACAGCTGATTTTAAATACGGGGGATATATGCGTTATTTTCGCGTTCATTTAACGTAGGTTGTATCTACGATGGCTTTTTTGTTATAATGCGATCATTTCAGGGGGATCATAGAGGCAATAAAACCATTACTAATGGTCGAAGAACCTTTAGGTTAAAGCAAATATCTGAGTTATGAAACAGATTGCACCTAACCCTCCCGATGTCAAAGCTCTATGCAGGTGCAAAATGTGAGCATTAGTTTCATAAACACTCAAGGTCTTTTCTCAATGGCTTTTAAATTTCGAAAGATTTGTTCGAGTTTGCTGAATACTTTCCTTTTTAAATAAGAAACTCAAAACCTGCTTTTACTAATGAAAGAATCTTGATTTTTTTATGAAATTGAGTAGGTATATTAAAAGTATCTTGTTTATTGGGTTAGCAGAAAGATATAGAACTTGGAATTGTCTGTTTTACGATTTTTCTGTGCGATGTAGCCTCAAAACAATATAATATCAGTTGAGTAAAGGGTGGTTAAAATTTGTTTTGCATATAATGCCGTAGTTAGTTGAAGTAGCATTGCAATGCATATAGTCGTTTCTTTAAAAGTACAGGGCATGATTTCTTCTAACAAGTAGCGTTACTACTGATTGTCAAACTAAGGTTTCTTGACATTACAACACAGCACTGCCAATACTGGTACAACAGCTGGTACAACACGGCACTGCCAATTTTTTTTAAAGAAAACTGTCGGGTTTTTAAATAGATGCAAACGCACATCGCGGGGAGTTCAGCAATATTTGAAATCGTAATTTTTTCAATTAGCAATTATTGAAATTAAAAAAAGTTCCCATCCAATAGATTTCCAAACAATTTTAAAATGTTGTTGTTGAACCATAAGTTAACGGGAAAGCACGGTGACACACGTGGTATTTTTAAAATTCTGAGAAGCTAAATAACCAGAATTTTATATTTATCACTCCACGGACAAAAAAGATGCTTCCTTCTCATTCATATCTCATTCATAACCAGCAAGTATACTAACTTCTTTTGCTGTCGTGTTTGGTTTGTACTTAAAACCATCACCTGTATACAAGGACCGTGGAGCATATTACTGATTGAGGGAGCTAAAATGTTTTGGGGGAGCGAAACATGCTAAAACCAAGAGCAAGGCATTTTTTAAGTACATTTTCAAAAAGGTCCCCTAGCAGATGATGAAATTCTGGACCCACTTCTACAAAAATCCGACGAGAAAGCAAACAATAGGTTTAATGTCAGATTGTCAGGCTATATGTCCTGTTTATAAAGACGATGATTTATCTGAAATAGATGAATTAAAAGGGGTTAAAAATAATAGCTGCCGTAACCGACCTTTGAAGCAGATTTTTGAACGCCCCATCAAAAGAGAATGATGTTTCCCGAATACATGTAATCTCCGACATCGAGGATGTAACTACCAGGATATAATTGGCAGGCCTTTAGATCAAGTAAGGAAGGATGAAACATTAGTTTGTGGATAACTTCTCAAAGAATAGAATGTATCTTTCGCGTATCCATCCTCGATCAGTCAAAAAGGTCAGCCTCGGGTTTATCAAAATAGACTGTGTTGATATAGATGTGCAGTTTGGCTTTGTTGCTGTTCAAGATAAATGAAGGATACCATTTATTAAGTTGTCCCGAGGAGGCAACATCCGGATCCCTTTCGCACTACATGACCGTTGTGATAAAATTTGTGACAGGTAGCCTCAAATCTACTGCATTATCTAAAAGATACGCGGATTGTCCTACTCAAGCCAAAACTTAATTTTCCAAGTTGATTCTTGGTCTTCCTGCCTTATTAGTTTACTTTTCCAGCCTATGGAGTTTGTAAATGACTTTTTGTAAGCTTATTATTCCAACCTTCTTAATATTCTTACGCTTTACGTGTCGCATTTCAGTGCTGGGAGTTCCAATCAGATGTTGCTTTGTCAAACCGCTGCAAAAGTCAACCTTTATAATAATCTGCTTATCGTTGTTACAATCAAAAAAGGATTTTTGTGGATAACATAAGAATTAAGAGCAAGATCGATTCTTTATAGCATATATAACCTCTACATACATTAACTGTAGGGTCAATCGCTAAAACTTTCGAGGGATCGGTGGAAAAGAATTGAACAAGCTTTGATGATACATTCATGTCTAAAGATATTGGAACATGTCTTCCTTCTCCAAAAGTATCGTAACCTGCCCGTGTTTTAAAACTTTCCACAGCAAACCCTAGCCCAAGCCTGTTTCCGTTTTTGCTTCACCTGAGTAATAGACAGTTACTTTATTCATGAAACCAAGAAGATTATTAAGTATTTGAATAAAATGTTGATCGAAACTTCAAATTTGTTTCATAGCAAAGTTGCGAAATCTTATGCAAATTTTCACTGAAAACCTGATATACGTTATCAATATTTATCATTAAAATTCTACTACAATAATAATTGTTAACAAGATACTGATAATAATGACATAGAAAAATAAAACAAAAACACAATGCAACTAGATGAAGTAGAGTTCTAAAAAAGGAGCTCTCAAAGTAGGTAAACCAACGAGATGAGAGATAAACTAACGAAATATTGGTTTGTAGCACAAGATAATAAAAGCAAGCATTTACCTTGCCGATAAAGGTTTTAACTTTTTGACTGATAAAGCAGCAGTACCACTTTGACATGTACAATATACTATTGCCAGCTTACTTTAAGGGAGTAGAGAAGATTTGACCATACAGTCTGGTATCCAGACCGCAAGAAGAAAAAACACTATTCTTACGAGATATGCGAAGACATGGAATTCATCTGCGCGTAATCCACGTAAGCTAGATTTTGAAAGCTTTAATATTTATGAATGCTTGTTTCAAACAAAGATAGATATCCAGAAACTGGTTCAGTTATAATGCTGTTGTAGGTAGTTTACTTGCTTTTTGGACTTGAAACTGCTATAGAAGTGGAGTATGGCCTTATTAAGTTTCTAACTATTAGCTAACATGATGTGGTTAATGCTTTTCACTCCTGGAGTTAGTAACGCCTAAAGCAACTCAGGAGTGAGCCCCGGAATTCAGGAGTTGTTGTTTGAATGGGAGTTGGTTCACTTATACGTTTTTAAGTTTCATCGAGAGTCAAAAGAAATAAGGACTATGCTAAACATCCAATTCGAGGGATGAATAACCTTTCTCTACTTACTTTTTTGAGTCGTTATTTTGCTTCATTGTTGTCCCAGTGCATGTAAGGGAGGGGGCAATCACCCGAAAAGGTAAGCTGGAGTCGGGGCAGAGGGCAGAGGTAGGGGGCAGAGGAAGGAGAGGCAGAGGTAGGAGGGACAGAGGGAGAAGTGGGACTTGTTTCTAGAAATAGGGGGCACCTCTAAAACAAGGACAATTTTCCAAAATGGCTGCCCTTGAATTCAACGTCCCTCGATTTCAACGTTCTCTGCTGCAGGCGTCATTGTTTAGACTAGCCAATTTTAACTTAAACTAGCTATGCCCCGGTTGGTTTTATTGAGACCCGTTTTTTCTTTGCTCTTAAGTTTTTCGATATCTTCGTTGTGAAATTCGTTTGCAGTGCGTTTGCTCTGCAGTGCTTTAGTCGATCCCGTAGAAAGCGGATAATGCTGCGTAACAATGCACTGCGTTATTTTTCTATTAGATCCTTTACGTTGCAAACTGATATACTATTGATGATAAAAATCGATTCCAAGAAAGCTAGATAATTTTCTATAACGTTCTAAACTCATTCGTATTCAAATTTTGAATGAAACCTATGAAGATCCTTGAAGACGTCAAGGGACTCAGAACCTCTTAGAAGCAAGTTGCGAAAGAATCATTATGTGGGGGGATTGTTTTTGAAAATGAACAGCCAGGACGTTAGAAACATAAACATCCAGTCAACGCCTCCTACTGCACGACATTCATAGTGCACCCTACATTTCTCAACTACTTTTGAATTTGCAGCCTATGAACTTTCGATACTCAAATTCTGAAAATAAAGAACTTCTTGAATCATGGCCGGAGTTTCTTCATGACGTTTTTGGTGTTTTTTGATGGTAGAAAATGCTCTTAAACTTGCTTTGTATCCAGCGACGTATTATGTGGTAATACTTAGACCCTTCCCACAACAATTTGTGCAAACGGACTTGCTAATATTTCAAAAATCTTCTTAAGAAGGTTGTAGAGATGAACTTTCAATACCAACCCTCAGAACCTCTCAAGAAGTGGGAAAAACAAATAACTGGTTTGAGCTGATGTTTATAAATGAAACTCTATGTGGTAGTCCGTTTACCCTAAATAGCATTAACAATTTATAATATATTTGGCAGAGTTCACACTTAGATCTTGCAAAATTTGAGTAGCTTTGTTTTATCTTCTTATTCATTTCTTTATAGCCTGTTTTTGCTCCACATTTTTCAGTTTATAATGAATAAGGACCGTTTTATACGTCGTGTCGTGCCGTGCCGAATCTGAAGAGTTGTGGTTCGGCATCGGTAGGATTAGTGGTACGACTTGGTTTAATACAGCCATGCTCAAGTCGCGCCGTTCCATGCCGAATCTTCACCAGCACTTGTGGGACATACCAATCGCAAAACGGATATGCATGAAGTCACTTTGTGCACTCTAAAAAACCTTTTTAAATCTTTCAACTTAATTATTTGTCTATAAACTTGCTTGTGTTTCACAGCAAACGGTGACAGGATCTTTGGTGTTCATTGCTTCATTCAATGGACTCAAAAATTGCAATGATCAAACATGCTAAAGACTTTCCTCTGCGTTCTTGTTGCAACCAAATTCATTCCTCTTCTTATCAAGGCAAGTATTTTGTCGAGAAGAGCTCTCGTAGAAGAACAGTGGCGGTAATCGTCAGCCATTTTATTGTGTTGATGCGCATGCGTTGGTAAGGTTCGGCACGGCACGGCACGGCACGGCACGGCACGGCACAACATTTGGTTTTATAAGTCGAACATGGCCGGGCCGTGCCGTGCCGTACCGGGCGTGGAGCTCTAGGCAAATGGTTCGACTCAGTCGTACCGTGCCAAACCAACAAGAATTAGCTTTGGGCCGTTTTATAACGGCGCTGTGCCGCGACGAACTAGCAGGTTATTGGTTCGACTGAGGTTCGACTGTGATTCACCTCCGTTTTATAAAGGCAAAAAGTTGGTTGCGCTGAACTGTAGTTTCGCATGCGCATAACCACTTGAGTCCTTCGTCTGAGAAAACAAGATGGCAGACGAAAGAAGTGTGATTCGCGGTGCAGATCGACTGTTGTTTTTAAAAGTCGCTCAGGGTCGACCCAGCCGAGCATCCCTTGCCGTACGGTTCGACTCAGTCGAACCACGTCGAACCAAGTGACAAATTGGTTTTATAAAAGACGCGCAGAGAAATTTCACGTTGCACCAACCAAATTTCACGTGGTTCGGCACCGCACCGCACGACTTATAAAACGGCCCTTTGTCGTTAAGCCTGTAGATAAAGATTTTCGAAGACATCTTTCACGGAAAGATTTATGGATTTCTGCAACCTACCATGCCTTTCAGAAGTCTTTGTACGCTATTCAAAATTTTCGAACATTTTTAATGCATTCCTTTCTCTCTCTGCTAACAGTGTTGTTTTGTTCAATTTTTAAAGGCTCGGTATGTCAAATTGATTTATTTCTGATTGCTATGATATTTAAATCTAAAGCCAGCATTGATTGGCGGAAGAGGGGTGCAGTGTCGACCAGGTAACAGGGTGTTCCGAGGACAGCCGGCATGGATTGTAGCGGCTAACGACAATAGTTTTAGTGTATCGGTTCAGCAAAATCGAGGCGTTGGTAGAATTTTAAGTTGTCTAAAGCCAAATGATTTAAAGCTTTCTTGTTATGTTAATTAACTAGACGAATTTGCAAGAGTTTTTTACGATAAAATCATACGCAAAGATGCTCAGCATCTTAGCTGGATGCTACCAAAAACGTCGTTTTGATTTTCATGACCGCTTTTTTTTCAAGCAAGATTATCTTGAAGTAACAATTTTTTAAAAAAAATACTAATTCCTTTAATCTCAATTTCAAGATCCCTTTTCAACAAGCTGCCAGTTACATTGTTTCCCATCTATTGAAGCTAGCTGTCATGTCCCCCATTTATAGGAGACTGTGTAAACAGCCAAATAATCATGTGCCTTAGGCGGAACCTGCATTCTTTTGACTTCTCGCTGTAAAAAAGTGGTTTTTATAATAAGCTACATACCCGAGAGAAATTGTGGCTTGCGATGCGCATGCGTCCAGTGTCATCAGACAGTGTCCTGTTATGAATCACAGACGTGGTCGCCTTTTCATTTATGCCGTTTGACTGTTCACTGCCGCCCATCGTATCAATTCCAATTCAAATTTGCATAGGCCTAATTCAGGGATTAACTCTGTTGGTTCTAATGCAATTTCCGCGGCCCTTTATCTTGAAACGGTTCTAATGGACATTTTTATGAGTTTTAATTATTACTAATCAAATAATAGTGCTGTTTTCATATAAAATAATAGTTTCCAATAAGATTGAAAACTACATTTTGAAAATCACAGACAATACCCGATAAGTCTGTGATCTACTTTTAAATTTCTATGTTTCTTGCTTTTTACCTGAGTTTTATTTGTACGTAGATGACTTCTTTACCGGGTCTTACAAGATACTTTCCCAATCTAGGGGTGTACCGGATCAGGATTTTCAGAATCCGGCCGGAACCGGATTTACCGGATTTCTTCGTGGAATATCCGGCCGGATTCTACCGGATAATCTGACCATTTATAGAATTTTCAGTAATAAAAAGTTTTGAGCCACTTTGTGAAAAAATGTATAGCGAGAAGATCAAAGAGGCCTATTCAGGGTTGCCAGATTGAATTTACAAACGAAGGCTAGACTGGTGAGCAATTTAAGCCAAAATGCTCATAAAAAGGCCAAATCAAAAACTCTTTCAAGAATCCATCGAGCAGGCACTGGTTATATTTCTACGCTTGTGCCTGTTAGATAATTTCTTAACTTTGATAAAAATCTTACTTTTTTCCAAAACCCTTTGCTAAAATCAAGATAATATTTAGGTTAGGTGATAAAATTTGAAATTTGGTTAACACTTTGTAGTTAACTACTAATTATTCTATGAATGTAGTAATTACTTATTAATTTTGGACGTCTGCTGAAAAGGCCAACAAGGTCAAATTTATTTAGTAAGCAAAAACAATTTTTCCAGGCAATCTAAATCTAAAAACCAAAAATGAAAAATTTGGCCTAAAAAGCCGATCTGGCAACCCTGAATTATATCATCCAGTCTTCCTGTTTCGTGATGTTTAGCACTTTCATTTCAAATCTGTTTTCAAGGCGCTTGTTTTATAGTCGATATTGTTTAGTTCTGGAAAATCCATTTTTAATCACTGTATGAAGGGAGTCTGACTTGGTTTCCAAATTTTCTTAGTTATGATTAAAGTTCTGGAAAATCCGGCAACTGGCCGGATTTCGGAAACAAATCCGGCCGGAACCGGATTTTCAAAATATCAGCGATCCGGCGTCGGATTATCCGGCCTACCGGATATCCGGTACATCCCTATCCCAATCATGGAAATTGATGGATCGTGAATTCGAATGAACCAACGCTTATGATGAAAATTAAGTGCTTTACCAAAAAAAGCCAACCGAAACTGTCTGCTAGGTTTTGATACATTTCACATAGTTTGTATTATTTTATATTTGATCCTCTTCTCCCCCTCCGATAAAAATTTGTTTTATGTAGTAGTTGAAGGTTCGCTATGGCCAAATTGATCCATTTCAGGTAGCTATGATATTTACCTCTAACACCACTCTAACACAACATGGTTTTCAGGGGGAGGGGGGGGGGGTAGGTTGCGGTTGTTTATTTACTGGAAGCAGTTAATTTTTGGCATCATTTTAAGCATCATTAAGAAGGACTTTTGACTAGGAATATGTTATAATGAGCAAATTCCTTATCATTTAAAGTTGTAAGATATTGCAAAATATCACTGCTGTTTTTGGCTATCAAATGTTTTGCTCTTTTGCGTGATTTCTTCAGGACTTGTTATGGATTTCTTTGTACTGGAAAGTCTATTCCACACTTGTGCACCATTTTCACCTAACTCAAGATCACCCCAATCTTTTTCTGTTTTTCCTGTTGCCCAGAATCAAAGCTGTGCTTAGTGGAAAGTTTAATGAACAAATTTTATATTACGGTAGAAGTATTTAATTTGCAAAATCTTACACTTACCAGCAAACCCCTGCTTTTGACAAATTTAAAGACGTTGGTATTATTGCCGTTTAATGTTTAATGTAAGTTTGTTAACCATTAAATTTATAGAAAGTGATCATTTTAGAATTTCGTGGTTTGTAAAAATTTTGCAACTTTGTTCAAAATGAGTGGTACACCTTCCATATTTCTTGCCGTTGGTGTTTTGCCTTCATGTAGTTATCATGTTTGGTTTGGTGTAAGAACACGCTGTTTGGTGTAAGAACTGGACGGTTATAAGTTGCTACTCTGAGTTTCACGGTTAATGCGATCATCAGGCAAGTTTATGAATTGTCTAGTAACATTATCAACGAGGTCAAGACTGTGTGGTAACGAATTAAGTGAGGCAAATAAGCATCCAAGGAAACTTTGCTTCTAGAAAAGATACTTTGCAAAATTTCTATGCTTTTTTAAGTCATTCTATAAAAAATTGAATAGTTTTATTACTTGTTCTGCAAAAAAGGTGGAAACCGTGATTAGATTATGCTATGCAAAATTCTGTTATGCAAAAAACAACAGTAAACACACGTTAATTAACTTTGGCTAATAGTTCGCTCCAGCATACGGGGCTTCATTAGAGCAAAACTGAGCGGACTAAAAAGTGTAAAAATTTAAAATAGGCGATGATGGTATGCGATATGGATAAGTTGACTTATTTTCAAATGTTTTTCATTTGTTTTTGTCATCTCATTGCAACTCTTTTTTCTATGGTTGATTATGAGATCGTTCAAGTAGTTTGCTGATATTTACAGTGGAGCCTCCACATTAACCTAGAGTTACTGTCTTTTTATAGGGTGGTTTCTGTTGAAGGGAGCTGTCCGTTGAAGGATAGTGTCCGTGGTGGCAACCGAACTCTAAAAACCAGCATACTAAAGAAATCAGGGTATACCAAAAGCAAAAAACTAAACCCTCTTTGTAACCTTCCAGGGTTGAAGAGAATTGTCCTCTTGTCCAACCCTACATCGTTTTACCTTACTTGTCTACTTCCTTAACACTAAATCATCCTGTTATAGACAGTACCTCCCTCAGATTCGTTCAAAGCAAAGATTTTGCTTTTTCTTAAACGTGTATAAATGTATCCCGTTTTTTCTTTTTAAAGTATCTCTCTTTTTTGCATAGACCAAGAAATATGCTGATGTAATAATACCAAGAGGAGCAGATAACACCGGTAGGTTCGACTTTCAATTTGTGCTTCTTTGTAAGGCCCCGGTTACACGAGATCGGATCCATATTGGATCCAGAATGCTGCGCTATTTGCTAGTGTTACAACGACAAACTAGGAAACTATGGACAAAAAAGAGAAGCGGAAGCGGTCTGTACTAAACACCACCTTTTGTAAACCAACAAAATAATCGATAGAACAGTACCCCAGAGTCAAAGCGATGTCGACATTGAGGCCTGTCATACAAAATAGTATGCTTTGACAAATTTGATCTTTTGACAGAAAAAATCTATGCAAGGATTAATTTGACCTAAGGACCTTAAAGTAACCAGGAGATTATGAGACGAGTTTGGTCACTAGTTCGGCCTTTATAAAACATATAAAAGCATATCACACATAAAAGCAAACACATTCTATCAGCAGTTATTGGCTTATGATTATGATCAAATTGCTTTTTCAAATATCTCCTAACAAATCAGTCAGTTTTTATGTTAGGCTGCTGTTTATTGAGATGTGTGAGAAAAATTAAACTTTTTCTACCTTTCTGTTCAAATAAAAAAATTATTATGACATTGCCTTAACTTCAAGTAAACAATTCGTTATAAGTTTCAAGAATGGACATAATCAATGTTAGCTTAAGAAGGCCCAAACGGAAAACTTTCAATCAAGCAGAGATTTTTATTTTCTGGAAAGCTGTTCCTTAATAGCTTTATAGAAAATTTTAATATGATTGTTGCTGTCCTTTAGTGCCAAGTTAACTGCATTATGTGAGGAATCGTGTTTAGAACGGCTACTGGCATTCAAGCTAAGCATAAAAAATTCATTATCACTCTGAAAGTAAGCAATTTTTTGATAAAAAATATTTTCCTCACAGTAATTCTTGCATTTGCGAATGTTTATTGATGTCTAATACCAAATTATTTTTTAATTACATCGACCATTAATCTTATCAGCAGCTCAGTTTTGTACTTTGTCTTTGATATGTTAGCATCGTCTGACCAGATATCCGTCGTTTTTAAACCAATATGTGCAAGATAAAATTTCTATTTTATGCCATTTGCCGAAACGGCATTTTTGGTATGAACTTTGTTATTGCTGCACTTGTTTTGCGCTATCAGTATCGTTGCACTTAAAATTTTGCTTGACTTGAACCAGAGATGGTGTTTGGGTTTCATAAAATAGTTAAAAGACCTTTATTGACTGATTTAAACATAATAGACTGTTTCACACCCAATTCACTGGATTGCGATGTATTAATTTTCGTGCGAATTGACTGACAAACAAGAAATTGATTGTTATAAAACGAATTAGTTTTTATACGACAAATTATTTGTCATGCGTCTGATTGACTGGAATTTTACGAATCAATTTGATGTACGAATTTACTGTCTTATAACGAACTGACTTGAATACCTTAAACAATTCTGATTAGAACAAAATGTTTAGAACAATAAATTGAATGGAATAACTACATAGGGATCAACAATGGAATAGCTACACAGTTAATTCAACGTGGCATCTTAACAGCTGAAATAGCAAGTCAACATTTCCCTTTTTCAGAGTTTATTCAAACATTATGGAATTAACAAATCCGGATCGATAAACTGATGAAGTACATGTCTTGTATGCCATGGTGCTGGCTGTGTTTGTGAATTGCTCGTTTATCGACGAAAATAGCCTGATCTAGGTTTTAAGCTGCTTAGCTTATTAAATCTATCCCATCTATCCATCCAGGCGCTCCTACTATCCAATTAATTCTAGAATCTGTAACACAGTGAAAATAATGTGCAATTTTCTTATAAAGAACATATGTAGGTCAAGAGATATTTTGTTGTTGGGAGGTTTCCCTTTCCTTGAGGTTAGTTTTACAATGCTATAGCTGCAGGAAAAATTTTTGAACACAGTTATTTGTATGCTGTCTTGAGTGGTCCAAAATAAGAAAGCGACAGTTGAACCAAATTTAACGCCATAAATGCCGTTTATTAGTTTCTTATCTTTATATGTCCTCACAGTAGCGTAGGCACGTGGAGTTTGATGGGGGCGATTGTCTCGACCCCATTTGGTACAGGTTTTTACCAATTTTCCTTGGGCGCTCATTGTTGCTCCAAACGTAGCATATGTTCAAGCGCATCCCTGTGTCCCGCCAGGTATCACATGAAGATGAGCGAAAAACCAAAACTCAGAACGTGGCTTGAATCTAGTTGCCTCTGTAGCTATATATATCGAAGCATTCGAAAAAACTATAGCACCGATGGCGTCTAAGCACGAAGCACGTAGCACTCAATTCACCTAAACTGTTCTTCTTGCGGAAAAAGGCCTCTGTGTCTTCTTATTGAGTCTATGCGAGACTTGTCATCTCTAAAAAACGTTTGCATAGCAAAAAGGAAAGGTTAGTTATGTTAGTCTCGTTGCATGCATTGGTTAAAAGAAACAAAGAGATTCTTGCAAATAGCCAAGAGCAATTTAAATGTTTCTGTCCCTTGTCAACAAACAAGTGCTTCCTCTTGACATCACAGCAGTTTGCACGTTACGTTACAAGTTATTTTTGCAACCACTTACTTTAAATATCGAAGGATTGATAAGCTAGCAATCCCAAATATGCTTTTTGGAATACATTCAAACCCAAAGTTAAGGGTGTTTTCCAATATGTGCCTCGCCAAGACCTTTCTTTTCTATTCCCTTTCTCCTACTGACCTTACCTTGTCGGCTCCACTGCTTGTTCAAAAAGTTCCAAATAGAACCGATCTTTCTTAGGATTTGCAGTCATTGAAATTTCCTGTTTCATCCAGATGTAACTCATTGACTAATGTAACATTTAAAATATAAATTTGTTGACGATTAATTATTTGCACATATTTCAGTGGCCATTGATCTGATTGTCCAGCACATCAAGGACTTGCTAAACGATAAATCAGCGGACAGCACTAAAAAACGGACACGCCATCAGTCCGAATCCGGAACTATCAGCAGTAAGATCCGACCGCACTGATTTATGCTGCAGCAATGTTGTTGTCTTGTGATCATTTCTGAATACAGTTTGATCATGTGATCAGTTCAGATCACTGATCGTGTGATGATTTCTAGATAGAATTCCCATTCAGTACGTAGATTGTCGTTTAGTTTTGTGACATAGAGTGACGTAGTTTGTATTTATTATACTTGTTTCTCCTTTGATATGTATTCTTAAAATTCTTTAGAATGCTGTACATGACTCGAAGTTACTTAAAGGCATTGAGTCATGGTAAATAGGCTTTCTCTATAGGGGGTCATTTGGTTTCGGCGTGATCGCTGCTGTTTCATGTGATATTGGCATCCGTTGTTGACAACTTGCTATTGATGGAAACTGTTATGTTAATCAGTACGAGGTGAGTTCATGTGACCAGTTCAAGGTCAGCCAATAGCATCGCAGTCATGGAAATCATGACTCAGCGGATTTTGGCACTTAGGGTATATCCAGTCTATTTATCATGACTCAATGCCTTTAATTTGATAATAACCAATTATCTCGAATCAAAGCTGTTAATTCAAAGAAGCTCAGCTTACTTTCTTGTGTGGCTACATTATTATCAGTGCTGATATTTCAATTTATCCACCATTTATTGTCTGCTTCTATTGTATTTGACATTTTTTAAATTCATAACAAACTTAATAGAACTCTAATTTGGTATTTTGGCAAAGAAATGTAGGTCAAGCATGATTATCTGAAATCATCTTAAATTTCAAAGTTTGTAAACTCTGTGCGGAAAGGTTATTCAAAATCTTAAAAATTGAATATGTTGAGAAAAGAAAAGCTAAACAGTAACAAGTATATTCGTGAAAATATTCAGTTGCAATGTATGTCAGTTGAAAGTAATAAAGAAACATTTTAAGAATTATTATTACACTAATCTTGTAAGATATATTTTAAAAAAGCTGTGTATAACACCTTTTTTCTATAATTGCTCTTTAATCATCTACCTTGTCACATGCCTTAAATTTAAAACTGTCAGTTCAGTTACTGAAACTTCTTCAAACTTGAAAATCTTTGTCATTATATTATTGTCTTTGAAATGGATAATCTTGTGTTCGGTGTCCGTATAGAGATATCATAGCAGTAATATCATTGTCGCGGTTCACGGTTTACTGGAAATTTCCAACTCTCTTCGCGTAGATGTTATCTAAAGATTCATATTGTCATTAGATTTTGCATTTCGGAAGCTGTTTATCGTATAGATTTGATGCCTCTTTGGTATAAAAAGCGAGAATGATTGTAAAATTTACTTTTTAGTGAAAAGAGTTTACTTAAACAATTCTTAAGTTGGAGCGCAATCAGTGGAACCCAGTTGTTAATACTGATTTATATCTGATCAGTGTTATCGACTGTTTGGTTTCACGGCTGAACAATAGAGAAGTATTTGCCATATAAAAAAGCCACTTTGGCAGTTTTGTGGCTTTAATTCTGCCAAGAAATGCACCCATTTTCAGGGATAAACTTTTTACCTATAAATATTTAAATCATCACTTGACCATGATAGAATCTTTAACGATGCTATCGATTACGTAGTATAAATGAATCTCGAAATCTTAATTTTTAATTCTCTTTATGGCAAGTTGCTGCTCATTAAATAATCTTTATCGATCCATGCTTACTTACATTCCTCATGAGATTTTTCTTGTCTGGTCAATTTTTGGACCCTATTCATCAAATTGCTTTATATGCACTTTATTATCATACCCATCATGGCAGTTCAGCACAGAAATGACTTTTCTAAATAATCAAGTTTAGCCTTTGAAAAGTTAATGTGCATACTTTGCTTTTCGGACCATGAAATTGTTTACATATCCACAGCATGTATATGGATATGTATATGAAATACTGGATTCCGCTGTCTCAATTAGGAATGGTCAATTTTTGCTCGTGTTTTCTTCTAGATATGAAATAGCCAAATCTATTTTCACAAAACAATCTTGCTTTGGCTCCTTCCTTGTGGTAGTGAAGTGACAAATCTATTTGGCCATTTTTATCACGTTCAGAATGCTCGTATTCAGCCCCAAATTATGCCCACGCGCTATTAGGGGAGCCTTACGATGCTGCGTAACCAATATTTGCCTCAGTTTCGAGAAGAAAACCTTATCGCAATTTAGCAAAGTCAATTTTTTCGATACATGCTCGTTGATTTTCTAGGATCAAAATAGGGTTTTCCACGGCAGGGTGTTTTGCGGGTATTCCTCTTCATAGATAAATCCAAAGTAAGCAATTAATTATTTTGAAAAATAGAAACTTCCAAGTTGGGCGGACAAATAATCAAACGTCTCATTTCTCTTTTATCTAAACAGGGCTCTTTTTGCGGGCAAGATTTCTTTTCTTAACGCGTCTAAGATTAGGCCTTTAGCCTTGCTGTTTTCACAAAAAAAGGAACCTCAAAGCATTGATTTTTCTCATGGAAACCTCTTTCAATGACCGAAAGACATGCTCCAGATCTTTTGATAGTTTATTTAGAGCAGCTAGAAAAATCTTTGGGCCAAGAAATTGTTGATAGAAGAATAGCAATTTCGGTAAGTCTATAGACTTGGTTTTGCCGCAAAAGGAAGCATTAGAAACTGCAATTGTTTTTATTTATTTGCTTTGGATATCTGCAAGATATGGCTCAAACCTCTTTATAGTTCAAAGTATACGCAAGGTTTTAGACCAAAAATATTTTGATGAAAAAATAACAGTTTTTGTAAGCCTATGGACTTGGCTTTTTTTGTCGCGAAAAGAAGCCTTAAAAACTGCAATTTCTCTTGATCTATTTGCTTTGGATGTCTTCAAGATATGGTTCAAATTTCTTCATGGTTCATAGAGAGTTTTGAAGGTGTAGGCAAGGATTTGGACCAAAAAAGTTTAAAACGAAAAATGGCAATTTGTATAAGCTTATAGACTTGGTTTATTTACGCAAAAGAAAGCCTCAATGATTTCATTCTTGATGCCCTCAGGTTTTTTGTTATTGTATCTAATTGTATCTTTCGAATGAACATGAATTTTTACATCATACTTACCTAGGCTTTCGAATTATTCTCAACTCACTGGTTTAAAAATAAAAAACTCCTTTATTAAATCTTTCCGTCAATTAGGGCACAAAATTCTTTTCTATTTATGATTAAAATATAATTTTGATTTATTCATATTCTTGTTTTAAGTCTTGTCCCTAACCCTTTCGATTATAATTATTTTTTAAAAAACACCTATAATTGTTGAAAATCTTTGCTCCTTAACTCGAAGCAACCTCCTTTTCATTCCTTGTTATGAAATGAAAACAAAATGGTGGTAGGCCACGTGAAGTGAAATGATAAAGTGAAATTATGGCAATGAATCCAAAAAGGTTAAGGTAAGGCTGAAAACATATTTATTTGTAACCTCTAGGATTTTATAAGATACGTGTTGAATAAAATAATACCGTTTTACGCTGTATGGTGGACCTTCAACTGGAAGATTTTGTTGTTGATCTGTAAAATCAGATGAATACCTTCTGTTAATTATTTGCAAATCTTATTCAGAGATCCTTTTTTTATCACACTGCTTATGCTCGATTCTTTTTAAAACTTCCCTAGAATCTTGTCTCTTGGTTACCATTTAACTCTCTCAAATTTATAGTCCAGTAGAAACTCTTCCTCAAAACATTCTCTAGAATCTCTCTGTTAATTCTTCGCAAATCTTATTCAGAACCCTATTTTTATTTCACTGCTTATACCTCGATTTTTTTTAAAACTTCCCTAGAATCTTGTCTCTTGGTTACCTTTTAACTCTTTCAAATTAATAGTCCAGTAGAAACTCTCTCTCAAAACATTCTCTAGAATCCTTCTGTTAATTCTTCGCAAATCTCATTCAGAGACCCTATTTTTATCAAACTGCTTATGCTCGATTCTTTTTAAAATTTCACTAGAATCTTGTCTCTTGGTTACCCTTTAACTCTTTCAAATTAATAGTCCAGTAGAAACTCTCCCTCAAAACATTCTCTAGAATCCCTCTGTTAACTCTTCGCAAATCTTATTCAGAGACCCTATTTTTATCACACTGCTTATGCTCGATTGTTTTTAAGTTTTTCTCTAGAATCTTGTCTCTTGGTTACCATTTAACTCTCTCAAATTAATAGTCCAGTTTAAACTCTCCCTCAAAACATTCTCTAGAATCCCTCTGTTAATTCTTCGCAAATCTTATTCAGAGACCCTATTTTTATCACACTGCTTATGCTCGATTGTTTTTAAAATTTCCCTAGAATCTTGTCTCTTGGTTACCCTTCAACTCTTTCAAATTTATAGTCCAGTAGAAACTCTCCCTCAAAACATTCTCCAGAATCCCTCTGTTATTTCTTCGCAAATCTTATTCAGAGACCCTATTTTTATCACACTGCTTATGCTCGATTGTTCTTAAGGTTTCCCTAGAATCTTGTCTCTTGGTTACCATTTAACTCTCTCAAATTAATAGTCTAGTGGAAACTCTCCCTCAAAACATTCTCTAGAATCCCTCTGTTAATTCTTCGCAAATCTTATTCAGAACCCTATTTTTATTTTACTGCTTATGCTCGATTTTTTTTAAAACTTCCCTAGAATCTTGTCTCTTGGTTACCATTTAGCTCTCTCAAAATAATAGTCCAGTAGAAACTCTCCCTCAAAACATTCTCTAGAATCCCTCTGTTAATTCTTCGCAAATCTTATTCAGAGACCCTATTTTTATCACACTGCTTATGCTCGATTGTTTTTAAGTCTTTCTCTAGAATCTTGTCTCTTGGTTACCATTTAACTCTCTCAAATTAATAGTCCAGTTTAAACTCTCCCTGAAAACATTCTCTAGAATCCCTCTGTTAATTCTTCGCAAATCTTATTCAGAACCCTATTTTTATTTCACTGCTTATGCTCGATTCTTTTTGAAATTTCCCTAGAATCTTGTCTCTGGGTTACCATTTCACTCTCTCAAATTAATAGTCCAGTTTAAACTCTCCCTCAAAACATTCTCTAGAATCCCTCTGTTAATTCTTCGCAAATCTTATTCAGAACCCTATTTTTATTTCACTGCTTATGCTCGATTCTTTTTAAAATTTCACTAGAATCTTGTTTCTGGGTTACCATTTAACTCTCTCAAATTAATAGTCCAGTTTAAACTCTCCCTCAAAACATTCTCTAGAATCCCTCTGTTAATTCTTCGCAAATCTTATTCAGAGACCCTATTTTTATCACACTGCTTATGCTCGATTGTTTTTAAAATTTCCCTAGAATCTTGTCTCTTGGTTACCCTTCAACTCTCTCAAATTAATAGTCCAGTTTAAACTCTCCCTCAAAACAAACATTCTCTAGAATCCCTCTGTTAATTCTTCGCAAATCTTATTCAGAGACCCTATTTTTATCACACTGCTTATGCTCGATTGTTTTTAAAATTTCCCTAGAATCTTGTCTCTTGGTTACCCTTCAACTCTTTCAAATTTATAGTCCAGTAGAAACTCTCCCTCAAAACATTCTCCAGAATCCCTCTGTTATTTCTTCGCAAATCTTATTCAGAGACCCTATTTTTATCACACTGCTTATGCTCGATTGTTCTTAAGGTTTCCCTAGAATCTTGTCTCTTGGTTACCATTTAACTCTCTCAAATTAATAGTCTAGTGGAAACTCTCCCTCAAAACATTCTCTAGAATCCCTCTGTTAATTCTTCGCAAATCTTATTCAGAACCCTATTTTTATTTCACTGCTTATACCTCAATTTTTTTTAAAACTTCCCTAGAATCTTGTCTCTTGGTTACCTTTTAACTCTTTCAAATTAATAGTCCAGTAGAAACTCTCCCTCAAAACATTCTCTAGAATCTCTCTGTTAATTCTTTGCAAATCTTTTCAAGGGACGCTATTTTTCACATCCCTTACACTCGATTCTTCTTAAGATTTCCCTAGAATCTTGACTCTTTGTTACCATTTAACTCTCCCAAATTAATTGTCCAGTAGAAACTCTCTCTCAAAACATTCTCTAGAATCCTTCTGTTAATTCTTCGCAAATCTCATTCAGAGACCCTATTTTTATCAAACTGCTTA